GGCTTCTTGGTGGCCTTGGGTGGCTTCTCCTTGGGCTTCTTGGTGGCCTTGGGTGGCTTCTCCTTGGGCTTCTTGGTAGCCTTGGGTGGCTTCTCCTTCCCCTTCTTGGGTGGCCTGGGGGACCCCTCCAGGGACTGCTTGGCTGCCTTGGGGCCTTTGTCTTTCTTGCCTTTCTTCCCTTTGTCTTTGGCCTTTTCTGGAGGTGCTGGCCAAGATGCAGACTCAGATTAAACTAAAGGAGCCCACCCTGTGCCCGCACGTGGCCCCCACTCAAGATGCACACAACCTGGGCACAGCAACAGGGGCTCTTGTCAGTTCCCGGTGTGGATCAGGAAACTGAGTGGTCCATGAAAAGGCCCACTTGGCTGGGTGGCAGAGCTGGGATTTGGACCCAGGCTTTCTGTCTGCAAGTCTGGGGCTGTCACCACCAATCTCAGCCTCTCTAAAGACTGAGCATGGGGTACTCAGCTCCCAGGGAGAGGCCCTCATCCCCGCACCTGCCAAAACCTCAAGAGGGGCCCTCACAATCCACTCATTCACCAAATGTCCACTATTCTGTGCTGGGCAGGAAAGGGGTAGAGAGGTGGCCGAGCCATCCAAGCCTGGAGGAGCACTTGGTCATCCCTGCCTGCAGGGACAAGAAAAGCTTCAAAGGAAAGAGACACTCGGTGTGCCCTGCAGCCCAAAGAAGAGGACGTGATCCCATTTCAAGAAGTAAGGGGTTTGGAGTGGGTTGGAAAGATAGGGGTCCTGGGTGATCTGGGGAACACACAGAGGACAGAAGGGACAGGCAGGGAGCTTGTGCCTGCTTGTTCATTTCAGAGAGCTTGGGAGAGGGAGCAGAGGCTAGGTGTGTGTCTGCTCCATGGGAATCTTCTCTGGACCCTAAGCAGGAGCTGCAAATGCTGTTGAGAACTTAATGGGAGGTGAGGGAGCAAGAGGGGAGTTTGGCAGAAACACAGGAAAAGCTACAACACCCAGACAGCCAGGAGAAGCAGGGCTGCTACAGCAGCGTCCCAGCGACAGACTGCAAGCCTAGAACCTAGAACCGGAGCTAGAGGCAGGAGGGGCCGCAGGCAGCCCGGTGGGGTGGAACAGCCAGCGAAGACCCAGCGCTGGGGCTGCAGGGGAGCGGCTGCTGACATCAGGAATGACGGAGTCTCCTGGGAGAGAGGGATCACAAGACCCTCTGCCACCCTCCAGCGGGCCACAATAAACAGCTAAGATTTATTGACAACCGATTATGTAAGAGATCCTGGGTTAAATGCTTTGGTGATGCATCACCTCATCTAATTTCCATAGTAACCCCAGACTATCCACTGCCCACTGCCACCTGGAAGCCCTGAGGGGGGAGGGGGTCTTCTGCAAACCCCTCACCTGCCTGTGTGCTCCTGGCCTAGGAGGCAAGGGCAGGAGGGAGGGAAACCTGAAGCTGTGCCACCGTCAGGCAGTGTGGCCCCCAGTAGGATGGCAGGGTAGTGACACAGCACAGTCCCCCCAGGGGACACAGCATAGTCCCCAGTGGCTCAAGCCTAATCCCTCTTGGGGCCTGGCGGACTGCGGATGAGGGACTAGGACAATCGGAGCCACTGGCCCCCAGAAGCGGCCCTGCTGCCCAGTCCTGGCTGTGCCTCCGGGCCCATGGGCCCCAGGCCAGCACTGACCTCGGCCTGGCACAGCGTCCCGCCAGGCGTCTGGGCTGGCGGGTGCATCAGTGAGCCATTCCTCCCCTGGGCAGGCTGGGGAGTGGCCAAACTCTGCCGAGCGCCTCTGTTCTCACCTGAGATGCCAGTCCCCCAACACCCCACGGGCGCCCAGCCCCCGCCAGGCTCTTACCTTCTGCGGCCGCCCCCGCCCTTGTCCCTGACTTGTCCCGGGTCTGGGCTTTTCGGACGCGCAGGGTGGGCTCGGGAGGCGGCGGGGCCTCCACGTCGTCCTCCCGGGGCTCTGGCTCCAGCTCCGACAGGAAGCCCTCGAGGAACTCCTCGATCTCGTCGTCGGTCAGCACCGTCTGCGGGCGCCCCCCGGGGCACAGGGCCAGCAACGCCAGGAGGCAGCCGAGCAGGGGCGCCCCGCGCACGGCCGCCATGGTCGCGGCACGCGCGGGGGGCTCCCGGGAGGGCGTGGGGGGCAAGGGTAGGGGCGGGCGAGGGGACGGCGAGGGGCAGGAGAGGGGAATGCGTGGGCGAGGGGACGGGGAGGGGCGAGGGGATCGGGTTGGGCGAGGGGATCGGGGAGAGGCGCTGGGGTCTCCGAGGCCGGTGGGGCTCAGGCCTGGTGGGGGGCTCCGAGGCACTAGCGGCGACGAGGCGCTCCGGCCCCGCGTGGCGCGCTCCCGCACCGACTGCCCTCTCCCAAGCGCTCGCGGGGGCCGGGGCGGGGTCGCCGGGGCTTCCGGAGCCGGCTCCCCACCCCCGGGGGAGGAGTAGGAGGAGGGGAGGAGCCGGGAGTGGACCGAGGGGCTGCGGGCAAGCGGGAGAGCCTAGCAGTCCCGGCGCCGCGCGCTTGGCACTTTCCGAAGTGAGAACTGCGGGCGGTGTCCCAGTCGGAGACCTGTGCCCAGGACTGGGGATCTGGGGACAGGGGCGACTAGGGGGACAGAGGACTGGGAGGGAGGAAAGATAGCGCGGAGGACCTAGCGGTGAGGGTCTGAGAGGGCCCATGCCCCTGTCCCGCTCTGCCCTGGACACCACCGCGGTTAAGCTGGGACCCTGAGCCCGCCAGGAGTGACCCTGATAGAAGAGCCACAGCCTCAGACTTCGGGGACCCTTCCCAACTCAGGGGTCTGCAGAAGGGCCACCCCATCCTTTCCACACTCTGGAGCCTCTGCTGGAGGGCCCTGCTGCACCCCAATGTTAACTTCCCGTCATCCAAACCAACCTCTCCAGGTCTGCGTGGGGCCAGGCCCTGTGGTGAGCCCCAGGGAGGGACAGCGCTGTGGGAACTCACTTTCTATCAGGGAGGCAGGTGCGAAACTGCCCTCAGAGTGGCCAACTGCTCTGTGGGGGTAGGAGTCCCATATAAGGGCATGTTGTCCTTAGCACCCGCCACCGCCACCACATTACAACATGGACAAATAGCCATTTCTCCTCCTTACCAGAACCCGTTTTTTAGAAAGTGTTTACAAATAGCCGCAGCTACCACATGGACACAGGGGCCCATATATACTCAGGGGGTCCCAGGATTCATCAGGGGTCCCTTATGGGGCCTGGTGTTTGCCATAGGCTTCTCGAGGGGCAAGTAAGTGATGGCTGGCCCCAAATGGCCATCACAGCTGAGGCCAGAGTCCCAGGACATTCCCACTGGAAGGAGCGAGGAAGCAAGAGACGGCACACAGGGTGCCCCTGGGCCCAGTTCAGCAGCAGTCAGCGCTAAGCAGTCAGGTAGGAAAGCACAGGAGGCCCTGGGATGACTGACAGGGCAGAGTTTGGACCTTGGGTCAAAACAAAAGAAGAAAAGCAGGTCAGGAAGCACCTGAGTTCCCAGAGCGGCCCTGAGCCGGTCTGAGCAGGCAGCAGCCAGTGAGGCCACCGTGAGCGCTGCCGGGCACAGGACCCAGCTGCTTGCTGGGAGAAGGAACCCAGGGAGGCCTCCCGTCCTCTCACACCTCTGTCCTTCCATGGTCCTTCCTTTGCTTGCTTACTGGCTCTCCCTAAAAGGGCAGTGTGACTGTGTCAAGTCCCGGCCCTGCCCCTCCTGGCCATGTCATCCCAGCAAGTAGCCTCGATGCTGTCCATCTGCTTCCCCATGCCCTTATGTGTGGACTGGCCAGGGTTGTGCGCATGCTGTGCCCAGCACGCGGTTTCAGCATTCACAGCCCGCCGACTCTTAGCCCTCATCATCTCCCCTCAGAGACCAACCTGAGCCCTACCCACCTAGGCTCTCGAAGCAGCCCCCAACAGCCAGCCGTCCGTGTGCCCCTGAGCCAGCGTCTGCCTGCCATGTGTCCCCAGGCCAGCCCTGGCAGCAGCAAGGATGAAGCAAGCTCTTACCCTTCACTGTCCTCTGCAAACCTCTGAATCATCATTCTCAAAACGTTTTCTGGGAATTTGCTCTGTTGCCCCAAGTTGAGTGTGTCAGGCCAGGAGGCCCGAGGCTGGGTGAGGGGCTGTGGAACGTCACTTCCCTGGGAACAGCTCACACATGGATTGGATTTGGGCCCTACATCCTCTGCCAGGGAAAACAGAAGCCATAAGAAAATGAAAAAGGAATAGAAAGAGCCTTTTCCTCAGCCACAGTGAGTCACCAACAAAACATGAGCAAAAGCCCTCGTGGGGATCTGGGCCCCAGGGAGTGCCAAGGGGTCAGGGGCTCTCTGCCCTGAAGGGTCTGGGCAGGTGGAATGGGGGTTACTGCTCTCCATGCTAGGCTGGTGTTCCTCCCCTTGGGTTGGGGGCTGGGACCCCCACTCAGCCTGAAGACCTGCACCCAGGAAGTCCTTTAGCCCTGGGCCTGTGCCCTGCCTGGAGGCACAGAGGCAGCCACAGGGCCGGAGAGGGGGCTGGTTAAGTCTAAAGGTTGCAGCAGAAACCCACCCAATGCAGTGGGCACCGGAAACACACATCTCAGCTTCCTGAACTCGTGAAAAGGTGCCCCTGGGCCAGTGTGCCAGGATCTGCAGCACTGTATCAGCAGGAGACTGAATAAAATGTCACTCGCCCCATGTCACTGTGACCAGAAAGTTGTGACCTCATCTGCTCCATGCCACAGGCCTCTGGGGTGGGCTGGACAGAACACTATCCCTCAACCACCCAATCCCAGCCTGGCCAAGGCAACATGTACACACCTCCTCAGGGCGTGTGTTTTCGTATGTGGTCCTTTGGTTCATTCGGACGGTGTCTACAAGGCTTCCAACAACACGCCAGCCTGGGCGTAGCCCGAAGGTGCAGCAGTCACAGATGCGTAATCTTCCTCTGAAAAGCTGAGGCTGGCGAGAGGCAGGGGATGGGGGGACAGGAAGTCAGCAACTGGAGCCCCCTGGACGCAAGGGCACAGGTGAGGGCGCTGAACTTCCTGGGAGAAAGGGAAGGAGGGAAAGCGGGAGCCCCAGCAGAGGCCAGACTCTGCCCTGAGGCTCCTCAAAGCACCTCAGGTCCTGGCGCAGACTGGGCACTGAATTAATCCTTGCCGAGTAAGTATGTGTTTCCCATTTCTATAAAAAGTGAGGAAACTGAGGCCCAAGGAGAAGAAGTGACTTGTCAGGTCACAAGCATGCAAGTGATGGAGAGGGCCCAACCTGGAACCTCTAAGGCTAAACCAAATGCTCTTTCCACATGGGCTTCACAGCCTCTGGCCTCCAGGCAAGGATAGGCTGCCCTCCTCCCCTTAGGCCCAGGCTGCCCCTCCGCCTGAGCACCACGTGAGCTGCCCTGGTTGCCCAGCCTGGCCAGAGACGGAAACTCACCTGCCAACAGAGCCCAGCATGCCTGAGTTCTCACCCGGCTGGCCATCAGGGCCTGGGAGGCCGGGAGCAGACCCTCCCCACCCGCCCCAGTGGCCACTGTGGCAGCAGCTCAGACACACACGTGAGGTCGGGAGGAAGGAAGGCTGTGTGCACCTAGCAAGAGACAGCCCAGCAAACCCTTTCTGTGTGAACGTCCTCTGCGCTAGTGTGTGTTTGGTCTGGGGCTGAGTAGAAGGCACGGGAAGCCTGGGCTCTGGCACCAGGCCACCAGGATCACAGGCACGAGCCCCTCCCTGTCTCTCCTGGAGTCCTGGGTCTGCTTCCAGGAACCAAAGGAGAGGGGACCAGGCCTGGCTCCTTCCCTCTTGTTCCTCCTTCTTCGGAGAGGCTCTTAGAAATGCCTCCTTCTCTGCAGCCCAGCTACCTGGGTGTTAGCAGTGGGGTCAGCCTGCTCGGGCCCACGGGAGGGCGGTTCCCAGAGCCACGGGAACCTGAGGTCTCCCAGACAGTGTCTAGCCACCCTCACAACTGGCAGAACAATTTCCTTGGTTTTCAACAACTTGAAAACCACATGTGATTTTCCACAGTTCCGCACTCCTAGGGCCTGGCTGCTGAGTGAGCAGGGTTCATGCCGAATTCCTTCCACTCACCGCAGGGCAGACAGTGGGCCCAGCTGTGGGAGCCTCGGCTGGGGTGGGGGTCACCGCAGCAAGGCGGGGGCGGTGGAGGGGGTCAGGCTTCCAGCGCTGATGAGTAATTCTGCAGCCTGAAGATCTGGGAAGAGGACACGTGACAACTTAGTGCAACAATCTGCCCAGTGTTAAATCAGAGGGAAGCACGGGGTGTTCAAAATGGGGTTCAGTGGAAAAAATCGTGTTTGAACCTACATCACATCTTCATTGAAACTAACTCCAGACAGATGAAAGATGCAGATGTTAGAAGAAAAACCATGGAAGTATTAAAAGAAAGTATAGGAGTCTGTCTTTGTATTCTTGGTGGGGGACGTCTTCTAAGGAAGGACAGAGAACTTTAGTTGCATAAAAGTTTTTGCCTTCTGTATATCAGTATATTGAAAATAAAATTTAAAAGCAAACAAAATACTGGGAAAGGATCTGCAACCCCTGAGTCAGAGAGTGAACACTCTTAGCCTCCTATAGTTTTAGGAACCTGCTATGGCCTCAGAAAAACCTGCTATGAACCTCCACCCTGCACCCACTGTCCTTTCTCTCTCTCTGAGCGTCTGTGCAATGGGATAATAATCACACTACCATGACTCCTAAGAATGGTGCGAGGATTCATTGAGATAAATCTGGAAAGTTGTGCCTGAAAAATTGTCTTTCATAAAGGGAAGCTGCTAAATAAGTAAGTAAGTTCTTTACATTTGTAAAGCTAATTTGACTTTGTTTCTGCCTTTAAAAGTGAGCAAATTGAGGGGTGGGGACTAAAAAAAGAAAAGATAAAAGTGAGCTAAGGGTCTGGATGTGGTGGTTTACTTACACCTATAATCCTAGCACTTTGGGATGTCCAGACGGGAGGATCACTTGAGCTGAGGAGTTTGAGACTAGCCTGAGCAACAAAGGGAGACCCCATCTCTACAAAATATAAAAAAAATATTATCCAGGCATGCTGGTGCATGCCTGTAGTCCCAGCTACTCAGGTGGCTGAGACAGGAGAATCACTGGAGCCCAGGAGTGGGAGGTTGCAGTGAGCTATGATGATGC